CAAAGTCCCAAAAAAGGATCTTAAATTTCTTCTACTGTTTTTTAGGAGTTTATTTATTTTTTTATAACTATGATTGCATTGTATTTTTTTCGAATTATCTTAATAATTTATGAGTTAATTAATTGTTGGTTGAAATAAACAAACAAAATAAAACGGTCGACCTCATAAAACAAATGGTCGACCTGACCAATAACGAGGTCGACCAAACCGGTTTGTTTGCCAACATCCACCCCAACCTATCCCCCAATCCTCTATTTAAGAAATCCTCCCCCACTCATTCTACACCACAATCAGAACCCTATCCCACCACATCCACTCATTCTTCCTCTCCTTTCCCTTCTTCATTTTCTTCTCCAATTTCCAAAATCTCCTATTTCCAAAATCTCAAAGGAACCTCCATTCCATTCCATCATCATCACTTGGATGAAGAACAAGGTATAGCTTTCAATCTTCTTTTCATTTGATTCGATTTTCTCTTCTTCTTTGGTAGATTAGATTGTTTTCAAAAAATCTAAAGATGGATAAGAGGGATTTTCCCTTCTGTTCGTCAGATGCGGTCGACCTGTTCATCTTCGTGGTCGACCGGTCGACCGCATCCCGCTTTCAATCGTTTTGTTCTTCTGTTCTATGGACTGAGGTCGACCTGTGATGATATTGAGGTCGACCTATGACGTTTTGCTACGAGTTTTTAAATTTTTATTTAGATCTAAAGATGGAAAAGAGGGATTCTCCCTTCTGTTCGTCAGATGCGGTCGACCTGTTCATCTTCGTGGTCGACCGCATCTGGCTTTCAATCGTTTTGTTCTTCTGTTCTATGGACTGAGGTCGGCCTGTGATGATATTGAGGTCGACCTGTGACGTTTTGCTACGAGTTTTTGACCTTTTATTTAGATCTAAAGATGGAAAAGAGGGATTCTCCCTTCTGTTCGTCAGATGCGGTCGACCTGTTCATCTTCGTGGTCGGGCGCATCTGGCTTTCAATCGTTTTGTTCTTCTGTTCTATGGACTGAGATTGACCTGTGATGATATTGAGGTCGACCTGTGACGTTTTGCTACGAGTTTTTGACTTTTTATTTAGATCTAAAGCTGGAAAAGAGGGATTCTCCCTTCTGTTCGTCAGATGCGATCGACCTGTTCATCTTCGTGGTCGACCGCATCTGGCTTTCAATCATTTTGTTCTTCTGCTCTATGGACTGAGGTCGACCTATGATGATATTGAGGGCGACCTGTGACGTTTTGCTACGAGTTATTGCGTTTTTAATTATATCTATAGCTTGAAAAGCATTTGGGCCATTTCAGACTCGTTTCAAATTAGCCGAGGTCGACCTATGATGCTTCTGAGGTCGACCTATGAAGGCAAAAATTCTTGTTGTGCCATTCTCCTAGGAATTATTTGTGCGAAACTAACTCTGGTTGACCTGTTGAAATTATGAGGTCGACCGGATCTGTTTTGCACTCAACATTAAAACCATTTGGGCCATTTCAGACTCGTTTCAAATTAGCCGAGGTCGACCTATGATGCTTCTGAGGTCGACCGATGAAGGCAAAAATTCTTGTTGTGCCATTCTCCTAGGAATTATTTGTGCGAAACTAACTCTGGTCGACCTGTTGAAATTATGAGGTCGACCGGATCTGTTTCGCACTCAACATTAAAAGCATTTGGACCATTTCAGACTCGTTTCAAATTAGCCGAGGTCGACCGATGAAGGAAATTTTTTTTGTTGTGCCATTCTCCTAGGAATTATTTGTGCAAAACTACCTCTGGTCGACCTGTTCAAATTATGAGATCAACCGAATCTGTTTTGCACTCAACATTAAAAGCATTTGGACCATTTCAGACTGCTCTCAAATTAGCCGAGGTCGACCTATGAAGGCAAAAATTCTTGTTGTGCCATTCTCCTAGGAATTATTTGTGCGAAACTAACTCTGGTCGACATGTTCAAATTATAAGGTCGACGGGATATGTTTTGCACTCAACATTAAAAGCATTTGGGTCATTTCAGACTCGTCTCAAATTAGTCGAGGTCGACCTATGATGCTTCTGAGGTCGACCCATGAAGGCAAAAATACGAGTTACTTGTGCTAAACTTATTGAGGTCGACCTGTGATGATATTGAGGTCGACCTCGGGCCATTTAAATCGATTGAAAGCCAATTGTGACTTTCAGCAGGAGTGCAGTGCAGGACATTAGGCCACCTTGGAATGCACTCGAAGACACAAACGTCTGCTGCCTTCACCGAGTTCTCCTTGTCAACCCTATGCCGGCCACCGGCAAGCAAACAACAACAACATAACAAAGAAGACCCTAAAACCTAAACTCTCTTACATCCATAAGAACGGGACATACGGGCCGGTCAGGATGGGACCGCCCCGCATGTCCTGTTCTTGTGGATGTAAGAGAGTTTAGGTTTTAGGGTCTTCTTTGTTATATTGTTGTTGTTTGCTTGCCGGTGGCCGGCATAGGGTTGCAAAGGCGAACTCGGTGAAGGTAGCAAACGTTTGTGTATCGAGTGCATTCCAAGGTTGCCTAATGTCCTGCACTGCACTCTTGCTGCAAGTCACATCTGGCTTTCAATCGATTTAAATTTTTCGAGGTCGACCTATGCCTCTTCTGAGGTCGACCTATGAAGGCAATTTTGTACTCCAATCGTTACGGGTTTGAGTCGACCCATTCTCGTTTTAAAGTAACTGAGGTCGACCGCTTTATGGAGTGGTCGACCGCGTTTTGTTAATTTTGAAAATGTATCTAACGTGTATTCTTGCTTGTTTGATCGCAGGATGTTTGGCAAAAAGAAAAGAAAGTCACAAAAAGCTGCTGCCTCAAGTTCGGAATGAGAAGAGTTCAATCCCAATCTGTTCCAGACCAAGGAGCAAAGTGACAACTATGAAGAGAAGAGAATGCACAACCGCAGGGTGGCTCCTGGAAGGCTATTGACCACGGATGCGTATTCTCATTTCGAGAATTACGGGTTTCTGGGACCCTTCATCGAGCAAGAGTGGCTGAAGGTGATATCTCTGAATGTACCATACTGCCCAAAAATGGTACAATACTTCTACAACAACATTGTCTACGAGCGCAATACAAATGGATCCATTCACGCATTCAAATCCTATGTGAATGGGGTGGTGATGCGCATCAGTAAGAATGTGTTGGCGCAAGTACTAGAGGCTCCAAACAAGGGGAAGAGAATCCATTCTTACACTGCTTGGAATGAAACGCATTTCACGAGAACCAAGCAAATCCAGACGGTATGTGGTCTTGATGAAGAGGAAGATGCTGAGGGTCGCAGTAGGCCAACGAGTAACCACCTAACAGTTCAAGCCAGATTTCTTCACCACATGCTTTCCTACAACATTCTGGCAAAGGGTGGACATCGGGAGACAGTCACCTACTTCGACATGGAGCTCCTCACCAACCTACTATTAAACGAGAAGGTGAACTTGCCATACTTGATCTTCAACCACATGCTTACTGCTGCAGAGAGTTCAAACAGGAATCTTCCCTATGGGATGATCCTCACTGTGCTATTTTAGCATTTTAATGTGAATTTAAGTGAAGAGGTGGGGTTAAGAATCACAAGGCAGGAGTTCTATACTGTTTCATCTCTGAAAAAGATGGGCTTTGAGCTGCGTAATGGTGAGTATGTCAGAATAAACAATGCTCGTGGTGCCCATGGTGGTGATGATGATGATGATGACAATGATGATGGTGATGAAGGAGCCGGAGACGAGCCAATGCCGGAGGCACAGAGTTCAACTCCACCGATCACCTTAGAGCGTGTGTGGGAGTGCGTGGATGGCATGTACGAGTACATGGGCCAGATGTCCACCCAGATGACTGTCATGTACGACTACATGGGGCAAATGACCGCTCAGATGAGCACAATGCAGGTGACCGTGAATGAGATGCGAGATGAGTGGCGATCTTTCAGCGGAAGATACATGCATCCCACCACATCCGACCACCATCATGCTAGCACCACCAATGAAGAAAATGTGGATGAGGGAGAGAGGGGAGATGAGTAGGAGCGCGGAGATTTTACATTGTGTGTTTTTATTGTTAAGTGGTCAAAACGATTGTTGATTGTTATTCTGTTGTTTTTTTAGCTTTATTTTTGTGTGTGAACAATTATGATTTCTGTTTTATTGTATTTCTTGTTAGTTTGTTTAGTTGTTATGCTATGAATTGATGAGTCCTTGTTATCATTATTTATGACTATTTATGATGGTTTGAAACATAATTTATACGAGCAAAAGAACCACACAAATCGACATACATAAGCAAAAAAGACACGGGGCATAGGTTGACTTTATTGTATTCGGTCGACCTCGTACCGGATTAGGTCGACCTTGAAACCAACACTTGATCTTCATTTGACGTCAAATGATTGGACACTTTGATAGAACACTTATCTTTTATCTGGTCGACCTCTTTCCTTATCCGGTCGACCATTTTGTTAATGACTGCCATCAAGTGGTCGACCTATATACCTTAGGTGGTCGACCATGTTGTTTCTGACGCCAACGAAATGGCCGACCGAGGTTTTATTCTGGTCGACCAAAAATAACAACTTAAACTAAGTGCGGTCGACCAGGTGGTCGTTGAGGTCGACCGCAATGCTTTCTCGTGCTGCCCAAATTAGTCAATTCGGTCGACTGCCATTAGGATTAGGTCGACCGAAAAGTCCATGTCACAGTGACATGCATGTCATAGTAGGCATACCCTTAGTTTTTGGAATTATAGAGAGGAGTGAGGATGAAAAAATATATAATAAATGAGACCCCAACCAACCCCGTTAGTTGTCGTTCATACTTCCGTTAGAATTTGTGGTAGCTTTAATTGGGGAAACAATTAAAATAAAAAGAAGAAACATAACCAATTAGAGACTCACACCTGGACTGGTTGCACGAACCTCCTACAACCCAGTATGTAGGTAAATAACGTCCTTTAAATTTTACACGTCAGAAAACCATATATATATATATGATACATATTCAAATCAAGTCTCGATATCCTGTTCATGATCCAGCAACTTCCACGACCCATCCGACAACTGAACCATCCCGTTGTTCTTCAACACACGCCATGCCGCCGGCACCAAGTACTCATCCTTCAGTGCGTCCAACGACTTGTTGACCAGCGCCACGTCACGCTCCACCGCCAGCTGGAACGCCCCGTTGGACCCGTGAGTTCCGGCCACCCCGTGGAGGTGAGCCTCCAGGTTGTGCCACGTCGACTGGTTCCCGGGGTGCTTCAGATACGTGGACTTTCTGGTGTCGATCACCAGCTCCGCTCCCACATCCGCGTAACCAATCAGCGGGTAGTTAGGGACGATGTCGAGCGCGTTGTGGACACGCAAGGCGCGTAGGTCTTCGTACTGCGTGAAGTGCTTCTTGAACGCGGAGTCGCCGATGCGTGGGCTGCCGAACACCATGGCTGTGACTGGGCAGCTGGAAGAGATTGACAGCAGTGACGATCGGTTGAAGCCGTTGGTTACTATGTCCACCGCATTCAGGGTGGCGAGTGCGGCTCCGAGGCTGTGACCGGCCACCGTGATGCTGATTTCTTCGTTGCTGTATAGTTTCACCAGCCTCCTTAGCTCGTCGAGTACCTTCACCGAAACTCATTCATGTTACCATTTGTGTAATTTTCTAGTAAACGTAGTTGGTTCCATGATAACTGGTTCTGGTTGTTGCAGGGGGGTTTCATTAGATGTAAATAATCTAGCTAGCAGATTTTTTCTTGTGGTTTAGAATGGCCACTGGTTCAAATAAAAATTGTATATTATCCACATAGCCTAACCGTTACTGCAACTTTTTGTGGCATAGAATTTAACAAACTCCACAAATTTTTTATGTCACTTACATAATTTTAATTTTGTGATAACTATTTTAACTTTCAGTAAACTAAAACTATATATATGGTCCTCATCACTTAGACTCAAACCTTTAATATGTGAGACCCAAATTATTATCATTGAAAGTATTTGATACTATCAACCACAAAATAATTACTCCGCATAACCTGAAACATGTTTAACATCTAACGTCTCACAGTGTTTTTCCTACTTTCACTCAAGCCATCGTTATTCCTCGATTCCTTCGCGATAGTTGTCTAAGCAGCAACAGATTCAAAATAGAGAGCACTAGGTCACATTTGAAAAGAGACGAAGAGTACCGGCCCGTAATCCGACGAGCACTAAAACAAATACCTAAATTCGAAAATTGACAAGTCCTATACTAACTCTGGATCAGAGGATGGCGGCCGCTGTGTCTAAGTTGATTTTATGTAATCTCTACTATACAGTCAGTTCTAAATAAATAATGCTTCCTTAGATTGCCGGCAGCGAGAGGCCTGACGCCTCCTCCTCCTCTGGGAGCGCCATTTCTGCAGGCAGCGGAGGATGCCATTAGAGATAGTGTGCCTCACCAACGATTTCAAATAACATATCCCCAATTTTTTACTGCTAGAGAGAGAGAGGCGGAATGATTTTATGTTTATTTCTCTGTGCTCACTCTGTTCTGCGAAATTCAAAAAGAAAAAGAAAAGGAAATACCCCATACCGTCCCATCCCACTAACGGAGAGAGAGAGAGAGAGAAAGAGAGAGACATCGCCGTGGGGTGGCGGAGGAGTTGCATTTTAAATCCGGGTGTGAGACTGAAGATGTTGAGTATACATTCATTCAATAGAGAAATGAGTTGAAAAGCAATTTCATTTGATCATTACGTATAATATTTTGGGTCTCTACTTGAATTTGTTATCGTCGCTTGTTGTGTTGAACAACATGTTAGACACTTACTATATTGGTCCAACCATTTAGATGCAAGAAAGATAAAATCAATGAAAGGCCATATAGAACATATAAAGTTGTTTGAAAACTCTAATTGTTTGACGTTATTGTTGATTCTGGCCAAATTCATACTAAATGTGATATAGCTCCTATTATGTGAAGTTCGGATAATAAGTAGTGACAAAATCAATGAATAATGATAGAGCTCGTGTACGGGCTCTACCGGTGGATTAGGGATTAGGATCAACTAGGAATTGATCCGGCTAATTGGAAAATGGAAAGGAGGGGTGAATTTGGGGATTTGATTAGAAGAAGAGAGGGAGAGGAAGCTGCTGCCGCCGGCAGCCTAGGAGAAGAGGAAGAGAATTTCGCCAGAGGCAGGGAAGAGAGAGAGAGATTAGGCTAATAGGTTTTAGGTTTAATCTTGCTTAGTGGCCTAATCCCACTTACTAGTAATATATATAATAATTGGATAATTACCTACTACTACCCAACATATAGTTTATTCCCAATTCCCGAAATATTCCCAATAATCCGAAATAGCTTTAATCTGACAACTAAACAAAATACTAAAATTACTAGGTTTCTATCATTCCCGTTTCCTTCGAAAATCAACCTTGTCCCCAAGGTTGCTCCTCGAGCTCACTGGGTCGCCTCTTCTCCAATCCCGTCATCCTCGGCTGCGTCTTCCGCTTCATCTTCCCAACACCCCACTAACAACATCAGGTCCGGCTTCGGGCATTGATGGCCGATGGTGAACCGACCGTCACAATTGAAACATTTGCTCTCCCGCCTCTTTTGCTCGACCTCGGCTGGAGATAGCCGCACGAACCCCTTGGGAATGGCTCGTGGTCCCATCCTAGCCACCGGTGCAGGGCTTCCACTGCCAATGTTAGCTCCAGTCGAGCCTCCCACTAGCGCCCCTCCCGTGCCGCCACTGTTCCAGCTGCTTCCTCCACTTCCACTCTACTTCGAGAAGCGGCCAATGGTGCTCCTCCAACTAGCCAATTCTTCCTCCTTATGACCTGCAAGACGAAAAGCAGCTTTCAAGGAATCGGGCTCGAACACTCTGACTGCCGCTGTTATCTCGGGCTTAAGACCCTCCATGCACAACTTGAAGAGCTCCGCACGGTATTCAGCCACCGTGACGGTCTGCTTCAGCTTCGCCAACTGCTCAGGAGCCCACCCATCCGACTTCCCAAACTGATAGCGGAGCTCTTCCTGAAACATAGGCCAAGTGATCAATTTTGCTGCGGCCGTGTAGGATCTCTCCATCCACTCCCACCACTGGAGCGCATCTCCCTCCAAATAGAACGATGCGAGATAGGCCTTCCTTTCCTCCAGAATCGGGTGGTTTTTAAACCACCTCTCAACTGCATACAACCAAAGGTAGGAGGCTTAGCTCGAAAAACTACTCCATCCTAAAATCATAGTTCATATAGTGGGACCCATACCTGTCATTTCCTGGAGTCCTCCACGGCTGCCCAAAAGGAGAGCCCTGTATCCGGCTTGGATTCCCATGCCCATAGTCACCCGGGTAGCTGCCTTGTAGGTTTGGGTACCCTCCTGGAGCGTGAGGTGCCCCGTACGGATCCTCACAGCCGGCTGATTCCCTGCTGTCTACCCATTTGGTTTGCTGAGCAGTCGGACTCGGTCGATGTCCGATTCGACCCACCTCCGGTCGACCCATTCCGGCCCGACCAGGCCCGGCTCACCTCGGTTCGATCATCGTCAGTCCGCCCTATCTCGGTTCGACCGGTCTCGGTCCGGCCCGCCTCCGCCCAGCCCACTGCGGTCCGCCGCATAGGAGCCGACCCCACCCGCCCAATCTGGTCGGCGGTCCTCCTCGGCCCACCAGGCCCCCTCTGGTCCATCTCTGGTTCAGCCCACCTAGCATGTCGATCCGTCGGGCTAAGTTCGTCATACTCGGGCCCATCTTCCAGATCCAACCACCCCAGTCCGTTATGGATCTTCGTGTAGTGGCCTATCGGCTCAGGCCCAATATTCATGGGAGGCCCGTCTGTGTCATAGTCGGGCATCTTGGCCTTCCCTTTTCGGGCCGCAATCTCTTGGGCCGTAGGTGTAGGTAACAGACCCGGGCCCACACCTAACCCTGCCTGCGCTGGGCCCGTCCTTGCTCGGCCGCCGCCTCTCGCGTAGCGCCCCGAGTCGCCGCCGCCGCCGCCTGCTCCTCCGCCTCGAGCGCCGCGCCGTGGCCGGCCACCGCCGCCGAGCGCGCCGCCCTGGTCGGATCCGCCCGCCGCGGCGACCGCCGGCGAGCCCGCGCCTCCGGTTGCACCGCCGCGACGGAGTCGGCATTGCGGCAGTCGCCGCGGTTGGGTCGCCCTCCTCCTCCGCCGCCGCAGTAGTCCACGCCTAGTAACGAGCCTCCTGCTTGAGCTCAGCTAACGTGAACTCGATCTGCTGTCGTATGCGAGCCCAAGCCGGATCGATGAGCTTTGAAGAACTCATGACGGCTCTTATACCAAATGATAGAGCTCGTGTACGGGCTCTACCGGTGGATTAGGGATTAGGATCAATTAGGGATTGATCTAGCTAATTGGGAAATGGAAAGGAGGGGTGAATTTGGGGATTTGATTAGAAGAAGAGAGGGAGAAGAAGCTGCTGCCGCCGGCAGCCTAGGAGAAGAGGAAGAGAGTTTCGCCAGAGGCAAGGAAGAGAGAGAGAGAGATTAGGCTAATAGGTTTTAGGTTTAATCTTGCTTAGTGGCATAATCCCACTTACAAGTAATATATATAATAATTAGATAATTACCTACTACTACCCAACGTATAATTTATTCCCAATTCCCAAAATGGTCCCAATAATCCGAAATAGCTATTATCCGACAACTAAACAAAATACTAAAATTACTAGGTTTCTATCAAATAACCACATTTTTACCTGAATAAGCACTAAATTGTGTGAATAATCACCAAATGGCTTGAATCTATACGTGATTTAAGTGTTGTGTCTTTTGAAACATCAAACATTTTCTTTATTTCCCCCTTCTTCCCTTAAAGTTTGTATAGGCTTCTCATGAATAAGTAATTGGGTTGATGAAACCAATGATATATATGGTAATGAAAGGTATATTCCAGAAGTATACCATACTCCATGTTATATGACCGTCATATCTTCTTTTATGAGCTCGGACTATCCCAATGGTCAATTAATAATTTCTATTAGATTGAACTTCAGGTTTCAGTTTAGAGAACCGGCGAAGGCCTGGAGTTTATTTATTAGAGATTATGGTATAGTATCATACCCAAACCTCGATTTAATTCAAAGTCTAGATAGAGATATCTTACTATGAGTACCTGTGTATGTCGTACACCAGACAATCTCCACTGTCCGCATCCATCTCAACGGCCAGCATAAATGAGGTAATTTATTTTTAATCCCATAAAAAAGAACCCGCATTAATGTTGGTTGTTGAGATGGACTTGGATGGTGAAGATTGTTGGTTTACGACATACCCCAATATATGTCTGGCGTACGATAGAAGTCATTGTATATAGGAAGTTGCTAATCATTTGTTGTGCGAGCCATCTATAAAATTCAATTAATCTGCTCGCCCTGGAAAGGGTCATGTTCGTGCTATTGAAATCTTTGAGTATAAGGCGACAATGAAGCTCACAAGTCTGCTGGGATTGGGCGTACAAGCGCGGAGGAAACCCGGGATGGGACACTGTCTGAGAGTCTACATCTAAATGAGTATGGCTCTAATTAAGGCCATCTGGTGGTGGGATCAAGAAAACGAGGTTTTCATGAATTGGGTGGTGATCCACGAGATGACCCCTCTCCCAAAAGTCAATTTACTAAAGTGGATGAAGAGACTGAAGAGGTGGACGTAGCCAGCCCTGAATGGCCCCAGATGGATATATAAATGAGGATGTTGGCTTGGAATGTGAGAGGGATTGGGCCAACCCTCACATTGTGTAATGCTTTAGGTTTACTGCATTCCAATAAGCCTGATCTAGTCTTCCTGTCGGAAACAAGATCGTGTTGTAGGGTACTGTCCTGTAGGATGCGCGGAATATAATTTCATTTGTCCAATTGTTTTTTTGTTGACGCGGTTAATGCGTCTGGTGGCTGGTTGTTGCTGGGTCCCCCAGAGTTGATGCTCTGGTGTTGAGTCATTCCAGTTGTCATATTTCACTTAGTATTAATGAGAATAATTTTTCTTATGTGGTTGTTGGTGTATATATTAGCTGCAATGATGTTATTCGTGTGGCGCAATTGAATCATCTACAAAACCTATGTGAAGAAATCCAATTACCATACGTGGTGATAGGTGATTTCAATTCCATCCTTTCGGGAAATGAGAAAGATGGTGGGAATTCTTGGAACCCGGCCAGTTCAGCTGCACTTAGGAACTTTGTGACTAACCTGGGACTGCACGATGGGGGGTTTCCAAGGGGATCAGTTCACTTGGACCAATAAGCAGATGGGACAAGCTTGTGCTCGGGATAGCCTTGATTGAGCCTTATGTTCTCAGTCCTGGATGGAGTATTTCCCTGATTCCTTGGTGAAGCATCACACGGATCAGGGGTCGAATCATAGAGCTCTTCTATTATCCGATAAACCTTTCACGCGACAGAGCCGACCTCTATTCCTGTTCAATGCACGTTGGGTGGAGAACCCGGAAGTCAAGGCAATGGTCGTATTTGTGTGGAATAAGACTATTCATGGATGCCCTATGTATAGATTATGGGTGTGCTTAAAATGGCTCTGTCATCTTTTGTATGATTGGAGTAAGGCTGGTACGACTAATTCCCTCCGAAACATCAAGACTCTCTAGACGGAGATTGAGCATATAAAACACTCGATTCTTATTGATTGGGATAGGGTTAGGGACCTTGAAACAGAGGTTAGTCGCCAATGGGAGGCTGAGGAGATCTGTTTGCATCAGAAATCTAGAGTCCGATGGCTAAAAAATGGTGATAGCAATACTTCCTATTTTCATACAGTCACAAGGGCTAGGAGAAAAAATTACTTTGTGGATGGGTTGGTGATTCTATGGTTGAAGTTGTATGTTCCTTTTTTCATACAGGACGGATGTTACGAAGTTTTAACCATACATGGCTAAAGCTTATTCCCAAAGTAGATAACGTGGAGAATATGTGTCAGTTGAGACCTATAAGTTTATGTCAATTCATGTACAAAATCATTGACAAAATTATGTCTCAACGATTGGCTCCGTTCCTACCCCCGATAATCTCGTCAGGGTAGAACGCATTTATTCATGAAAGACAAATAGTGGATAATGTTCTCATTGGTCACGATTTGATGTACTACCTTAAAATTAAGACTAAGGGTGAGACAGGTATATGGATCTGAACGTTGATATGGAAAAGACCTATGATAGAGTCAAATGGCCATTCTTACTTGCGGTCTTAGGGAAAATGGGTTTTAGTCCGATTTGGGTGTAGTGGATCGAGGAATGCTTGCGCTCTTCCTCGTTTTTGGTTCTTATGAATCTTACACCAGCTGGCTATTTTAACTCGACTAGGGGACTTCGACAGGGCAATCGTTTGTCCCTCTCCTCTTTGTTATTTGCACTGAGGGTCTTGCGGCGCTATTACGCAAGACCATTGGGAGCGGAAGCTAGCTGGCGGGTTTAGTCCTAGAGCTCCGCGGGTTTCACATCTCTTCTTTGCTGATAATTCATATCTTTTCCTCAGAGAATCAATGCAAGAATGTGAGAAATTGTTGGGGGGTTTTGAATGAATATGAGGAGCTTAGTGGACAAAGGGTCAACTTGGCTAAATCTACCGTTTGCTTTAGCAAGAATATTCTGTCAGTTGATCAAGAGTCCCTAGCTCTCCGGCTCGGTGTAAGAGTGTTTAGTGTCCATGATACATACTTGGGCTTACTCACCTTGATTGCTCAGTCGAAGATGCCTACTTTCCAGTATTTGGAGAAGAAGTTATTGGCACGGTTGCAGAGATGGAAGCAGAAGGTGCTATCATGGGAGGCAAAGGAGACGTTAATTAAATCAATTGCGTTCTCTTTGTCGTTACATGTTATGTCCTGCTTTAAAATTTCTCTGTCTCTTTGCCAAATTCTGGATTGGCATGTTGTTAGATTCTGGTTGGGAGTGGAAGGAGGCCGTCTGCGAATAAGATTGATTTATTGACAAAACTTATGCACGAGTAAACATGATGGGGGATAGATTGGGCGGCTTTTGAGGGTAAGTAGTTCTTTGTTTCCCAACTGATGCGTCAATACCATCAACATCTCCATGAGTGGGTGTCTTTACCGGAGGATAGATTAGTCCTGGGGCAGGGTCATCGGCAGCACAATCAAGAGGAGGTGGATTTCCCAACTGTCGTCTGTATGTGGGATGGTGCGATGCGTTCTGGCTCACATTCAGCCCGGGGGGGGGGGGGGGGGGGGGGGTTGATGGTGAAGGATGGAGGTGGGAATGTGGTGTTAGCGAAAGGTATGTTCATTGGGCATTGTCGATCCTCTTGTGGTTGAGAGTATTGTCCTCCGTGACTCTATTCAGTGGTGTCGGAATATTGGCATCCCTCAAGTACGATTCGAAGGTGATATGAAGGTACTTGTTGATAGGATTAGTGCCAAAGATGTGCGGGATAGTGGTGTTGGAGCTATTATCAATTAGATTCTGAGTCTTATGGGTATGAATAGTGGGTTTCGTGTTCGGTTCGTGGATTGGAATAGCAATAGGGTACCCATTCAGTGGCTAGAAATGCCATTTCTTTGTCCCCGACTTTTTGTCAATTGTATGATTTTCGTGCCTGGATTGGGCCATGGTGTAATTTGTGATCTTTCATCAATCAATATGATTATCATTTGTTAAAAAACAGAGTAATGTCTATTTTTTTATCCAAATCTTTTTCATATATTCTTTTATATTAACCAAACCTATCGAAATACTAAGAATTATCCAAATGTTAACTTACAGTTAGCAATTTTGTTAGTAATATTGACTTGGCCCTATGATGCTGACTTGGAAGAGACACATGAAGGTCAACATTCCAAAATTTTAGGATTTTAACTAAGAAAAGAGTTACAAAAATTTTAACGAAGACGTAAAAATAACTAATATTTTAATGCATTACAAAAGAATTTGAATAATTAATAGCATTTTAATAGATTTGAATAATATAAATGAATCTGAAAAAATTTTGGATAAAAAATAAACATTAAATAAAGCTACCTTTGACCTTTATAAAAACCTAGCTAGAAAACGGCGCTGGACAAACCAAAGATGAAATTATGTTATTATTAAAAAAAAAAACAAATATTTATTATAAGAGGTTGCTTTTGGAATGGATGTGGCGATTGCCTTAATTGGTTATTTTAATTACCGATATCTTAAATCCATAATAACTCAATATTTTTTTTTAATGGATTTCTAACTAGAAAAAGTTAACATGAAATTTATCAACACATGATAGCCGCATTGATTGATTAGAGCACATTAACATACTAGTCAGTGTCGGATCATATAGGGCAAGGGAGGTCCATTGCATAATCTTGACCCAAAAGAATATGATAGTGAATTTTTATGTAATGGATTGAATATAATAATGTGAAGAAATATTTGATAAGGTGCCTGAAGAATGACATTCCTCATCATTAATATGCATGATGAATGTATTTTGAGAACTACTTTTTCAGAATATAAAAGTTTATGTTAAGTTTCTTTTTGTCACATTTGACCTCCTTGGATAAATTTCTAGCTATGTCATGATACTAGTCAATTCAATTTTTTTTTTGGTCCAAAACAGTATTTGAAGCTCGATTCATTACCTGGTGTCTAGCGCTGGTGGTATTGTAAGGAGACTTGGCATCATCGGAGGTGTAAATCGAATACCAACCTTGATGCACCTTCACCTCACTCCCTTCCCCAAACACCTCGGGCGCCGACACCAGCAAGAAATCCAAATCATTGACCCACTCCAAACTCTGCTTCGTCCCTCTCCACGCCACCACAATATCCCTCCTCCCCAGCGCCGCCACTCCTTCCTCCGTCGCCACCGCCACGTACCCCATCCAGTTGGACTCCTTGCACCACGCCTCCCTCGACAGCGACTTCACAATGAAACCCTCGGGGAGGTTCACCGCCGACGTGGCGTACAGGAACTTGGTCACCTCGTACTTGAACGGGTTGCCGTTTTCCAGCCCGACCTTGCCCAAGAAACCGGACCGGCCGTACATGCTGCTGCCGCCGTACTTGGACTTCTTCTGGGTGTTGAAGGCGTCGTAGGTGGCCTGAGCCATCTCGCCGCAGTGGATTATGTAGCGGCGGAGGTCGAGATCCAGTGGGTCCAGTAGGCCCTTCCAGTTGTCCTCCCCGCTCAGCTGCTTCCACCTCTTGGCTATTCCTTCCCCGCCGTTGGTGCTTTTGCCGTCCATTTTTTTGTTTAATTTCTACGGTGTTGGTGGAGGAGATGATTGTAAAAGCTTGTTATTGGGTGCATTGGTTGCTTTATCCAAGTGTCAGGATTTTGGATGTAATGATTTATAAAGGAGGTAGCTTAGCTTCACGCCTGTGTAATGGTGGCCAACCAGTTCGGGCAAGGTCAAAGTGGGTGAGTGGGAGTCCATCCAGATCATCGATTTTCACTTTGATCAATGTAAAAAATGAACAAATTTCATGAAATAATATGTTAATAATTTTTTAGAACCAACGTACATAAGTAGATGTATTTTCAATTCCACAAACTAACAATTATAAAATTGTAATAATAGAATTCATGAAGAAATTTACAATTTCACTAGCGATGATAATCTAGGAAAATATGTATCTATAGTTGTTTGTTTCTTCTTAAAGCTCAAGTTTAGTGGAACTTCATCTTGAACTTTTCTCATTGTAATCAAAATTTCCGATGTTGTATTTTCTAATTGCAACAGGTAGTTTTTTGAAGAGTCGATGCGATATTAAGCGCTTTATTTCGCGTGAACGATTTCAAAAGTGTTGTATCATCATCTCCTTCATCCTCAATGGAATTACAAATGACATCGGCCATAATATCTTCTAAAATTTGTGTCTTAATACATTCATCATTTTCACCTGGATACTCAAGCAACTTACTTACATCTAATGATAATCCATACCATTAATCATATGCTTAAGTTCATTACATCTTCTTCAAAATTTATTTCACTATGGTCCCGGCCATTTTAATTTATAGTATTTGTTTTGTAGTATGTAGTATATATTGACAATGAGTTGCGAGAAGATAGGTTGCTAACTCTATAGAGGGTTAGCACCATATTAACTAGGGTGTAATAGGAAAATAACATAAAAAATAAAATGGCAAAATTATTAATGATTTACAGTAATATGGAGATGCAAATTTGATGGGCCTTAATTGGGGACGGTTATTATTTTAGGGAATGCCTACTCCGAAAAAATTTAGAATTTACTTCATCTCTCTCCCTCCACGTCTCTCTCTTTGATTGATAGAGATTTAACAGTAACATTACTGCTTTTGAAGATGGGTTTTAGTAATTATTGTTCTAGGTAGTAGTGTTCACATTTCACAACCAATCATAGTGTTTTGCAATGGTCGTTGTTTATATATGTCAGCGATTTCATTCCTTAGCTGATGGCTTGTAGTAGCAATTTCAGAGATAGTAATAGCGTTTACAATCATCCATTATTTATGGTACTTGTTAATCATGAGTGTAGCAGTGTTTTACTATGGTAGTGATTTTACATGAGAAAATATTCAACATAATCTGATTGTTGTCCATAGTGGAGATTGTTACAACCACTACTACGCAACAAAAACACTACTACAAAGAGTAAAAAAAAACACTAAAACACTGCAATAAGGCTACTCCTTCACAAACGAAATCACTATAATCAAACCACTACTACATAAAAAATAAAAGATATACAGTAATAGCTATCACGAAAAGACTACAACAGTGGGCTGAAATCAACACAGCTACATTAAAATACCATTCCGCCATAGCAAGCTAACGAGCAGAGCCATGCAAATGGGTAAGACGTATATGAAATCAAAGTGAATACGAAAAAGAACTGCCAGAGAGGGAAGCCGAAACAGATTAGTGAAGAACACAACTAAGAGCGAGATGATGCAGTAGACTAACAAATCATGGAGCAATGCCAGAGTGATCCAGAAGAGGGAGGATGAAAAGGACAATCGAGTGAGACAGTTTTAATTTGGAAATATGGCGGCGACGGAGGAGATATATCAGAAGTTGAAGAAAAGGAAAATAGAAGAAGAGAAGGGCTGAAATTCTTCAGATCCCCAAAATCCACACCTCTACCTGAAACCACGCTTATTTAATAAAATCATTAAATATTATAATACCCAAAACAACCCCAATGCAAAGGAACCGTCAAATTAAAAGAAACAACTATAGACGGAGCTGATAGAAGTTGGCACGGAGGTAACCCCTTCACGGGTTAGCATCCCATCTCATTCCAAATGAGTTGAATCAATCAACTAGTTTGAAACGGATCATTATCATAACAGTTACATCTTATCTCAAGTGGAATTGTGTACACATTAGTTCATTTTGGATATGACAGAAACATAACGGTAACATGTCATTTTGGGGCGATTTAGAACATGGCACAAACATAACAGTTACAGGTCAATATGGGTTGATTTATAACATGCCATGAACGTATCGTAGTAATTTTTTGGTGAAAACGGTGCAAAGCACCGCAATCTCAATTAAGTAATCGAACGAACGGTGAAATCGCCTACAAAGTCATACAACTTCCAATGACCAATGTAAGGATCCCGGGGATCTACTAGATGGGTGCCCGGACTAAGGGAGTGCCCTAAGTGAGCCAAATGATCAGCAAGGAAGTTAGCTTCCGTATACACATGGATATCTATGAGCCCCCATTCACAGTTCCGGAGTTCCTGGAATAAAAGCCCAAGGATGGCGTGCTGGTTATCAATCGAGGCGGACTCAGAAAGAAGGTGGACGGCCGTTCCACTCTCCTGTATCCGATGTCCCAAACTAGTTGAAGACCTTGTATGGCGCCCCATAGCTTAGTGTGACTGATTGAACATCTCCCCAGATTGATTGACTAAGCCCCCAATAAGCGACCCTGCCCCATCGTGATTGAACATATTGTAGTAATAAGTGATCACGAATGAAATTACACATTAAGAAGATTTAATTCAATTCGACCTATTTTATAAGGTGACTGGGTATCGTGAGATATGAATACTAATTTCATCATGCTTTATCTTTATTCATTCCTTCTTTTTATCTATTTTATTTTATCTCTATATTCACTAATATCCATTGTACGTTTTCTTTTTAGTTTCTTACTTCTTGTAAATTATGTCTTAAATTGCAATTAAGATTAGTTATTAGCCAGTGGCGAAGCCCGATTTAAACTAAGGAGTGGCTGTCTAGCTAAAATGACGAGTTGCAACACCATTCTACAATTGAACCTAAATTTTGGAGGGAGTTGATAGCCTACATTTTATCACTTTCTAATTTTTTCTCAAAATACAAAATATTAATTAGAACCAAGAGCATTGTAGTTTTACCTGAATTACACGTAGTTCCATTATTTTGTTTATTTTCTTCCCATCACATTTCAGAACATATCTATCTCAACTGATGACTCACACAAATATTATCCGACTTCATTTGGGCTATAAATGAATGTTGAGTCTCGCTCCTATATCGTTCGCTGCAACCTGTCATTTTGTATATTATTGGACCAATATCTAATGACTCAGACTCAAGCGACACTTTGGATTAGGTTTTCAAAAGAAATAAACATGTTTTGGATTAGGCATGTTGACTTGTCATTATTTTGTGGAGTATATATATAATTATATATATGTTCGTGGAAGGCCACTTACAGCCAGGTGGTCTTTCCTTGTATAAGCTGATGTCTCAATGGAAAACATTCCGCCCTCGTGATTAATAATAACAACAAAAACGGAAGTGCGATCAACGAGGCACATACAGATTAAAGATTTCTTGGGTGAAGTGATACACGTTGATCCCTTTTGATCACCTGGTTAACGATTTTCCATTGTTGCTAAAGTGCTATAGCTTACTAAGCACATTTTCAGTAAGCGAATTATACAAACAAACATGATTAACATGCGGTTGCTTGTCAGCTGAAAATCATATGCAGATTCTTGATTGGGCCAGCAACTGCGCTACCCATATAGATATACAATGCTAAAATAGCCTAAATAGCTTCTACGGATCAATTTCATGTCACTGTCATCTGTTATATATCCACTACTGGAAGGCAGATTGCGCAATCCCAAAGTGTTGGACTTTATATGAAGGGCTTTTATAATTTTACAAGGTTAGCTTTTCGTCCTTGTCAATCCCCTTTTCGCTTTCGGTCATACCCACCATTAATATACTTCTTGATCCTTGTTTTCTTAACAAATTAAGAGTTGGACAATAATTAGGAAAAAATCCCACTGTACACACGTTCTTAAGAAAAATTCCCAAAGTACATAAGTTATAAAAAAAATTCCCAAAGTACACATGTTTGGCATTCACCGTTTTTGACAAACGCAGTGAAGGTGATCACCGCGTTTGACAAAGACAGTGAATATTTCACCGTTTAAAAATAAAACGGTGACGTATTCACCGCCTTCATCTAAAACGGTGATGTATTCACCGCGTTTGAATAGAACGGTGAATATATACATCACCGTTTTAGTTAAAAACGGTGAATGCCAAACACCGTTGTAGGGTAACGCGGTGATCTTTTCCCACGTTTCCCACCCCTGGTAAGTCAAAATTAGGTCACACCTACCTATTATTCACCGCTTGAGACAAACGCGGTGATGGTGTTCACCGTTGTTGTCTAAAACGGTGAATAGTTGGCAGATTTGGTTATAAATACCACACCACCAGCAGTTGTAAAAACATAATCACTCCCCTTTCTTCAAATTTCAGCAACCAAAATCGAGCATAATACACAGAACAAGCATTTTTCGGTATGTTGAGACTTTTCGTATTATAGTCTAATTATGTTTTTAGTAGTTATAGTATGCTTTATTTTCGTATTATGTTGTTGTTAGTTAGTTGAATTTATGTTCGTTAGTTATGAGATGGATAATATTAGTTGTACAATATGATTTTGGTTAATTTTACTGTCTTTAGGCTAATAGATACTTATTGTAAATTGTAGATATGGGTAAATTCAAGAAGTTTCATCTTACTATTCGGTGGAATGGAAGGGTGACAAACTCTGACATAGGCATTGATTATGAGGACGGCGAATCCATTATGCTGAAAATTGACTCCCGATTCAATTTTCAAGAACTCTGTGATATTTGTGCAGACAGGGTTTGTACGAGCGGACAGACGAGACTTGGCAAAATTACTTACCGGTATCCAGACATGAGTGCTGGCGGGGTCTTGTTCCAAGAAGTTGTCATAAACGATGATGACGCGGTTACGATGATGTTACAGTTCCTAAGCGATAACCAAGTCCGGCTTGCAGAGGTGTATGTTGAGACCGAGGCGGTCGGTGAATCTCATTCTCACCATTATTCTCATGATGATGGTTTTACAGGAGGGTACGGATGGGGTGGTAGTTCGATCAACTACGAAGGCGGTGGTTATACATGAGGTTACGGAGAGGGTGGTGGTTCAATCAACTACGGTGGAGGTAGTAGTGCAGGATGGGTGTCATCGGAAGAATACTCGCAACCTGATCAACCAGCCCCATTTGTTGAGGCCGATGGTGTTCAATGGCCTGCTTGGGGGCCAGAGTGGTCTGAAATCGAGAATACCATTCGATCAGGGCGTACTTCACATGAGCGAGAAGACGATGTTGGTGATCGTGGTCATGTTGATCCTTCTGGCCCGAGCTATCCATTTGAGTCGAGCGGCGAGGATACTGAGGAAGATTTGAGATCAGTGAGTGAGGAGGAGGAAGATACTGATGATAACGAGGATGAGGTGGCATTTCGTGAGGCACCCACGCCATATTACACACAGGTTCCAACTCATTTTTTACATAGTCAGAATGATCCCCCTGACTTTGTCCCTATGCCAGTGTATAATCCGACGGCCAATTTGGAGGTGGGTATGGCGTTCACATTGAAAGACGCTGTGCAGGATGCTTTTACAGAAGAGGCGTTGAGGCGCAATTTCGATTGGAAGGTAAAATATTCTGACAGTAAACAACTACATGTCATATGCAAGCATGATGCAGAGGGTTGTACGTGGCAACTGCGGGCTGCAAATATGAAGAGAAAGGGTGCTTGGGTGATTCGCAAAGCTGAGACGATCCACACATGCTCCTCGTCTATACTTTCCCAAGATCACAGGCAACTAAAAGCAAAGAAAGTTGGGAGAACTATTAAGCACCTTATAGAAGCACAACCAGATATTAAGGTGAAAGCTATCATGGCAGAGGTGAAGGATCGACATTCTTACACGATAAGGTACAAAAAAGCATGGCATAGAAAGCAGAAAGCCATGGCTGAGGTGTATGGTGATTGGGAGGATTCGTATGCTTTACTCCCTAGACTTATGGGAGCAATGGAGGAGTCCAATCCTGGGACTGTTTTCGTCCCAGTATACAACAATGTATACACTGAGGATCAAGTTCAAGTACAGGAGAAGCTTATGTTCCATAGTCTTTTTTGGGCTTTTAAACCATGCATTGACGGTTTTGGGTTCTGCATACCGGTTATTCAGGTATTTTACCAACTGGTTCGGGTTTTACATGTTGTATTATTTTCTGTTACGTATATTTCATACTAATTATATCCTAAATTTTTATCTAGGTTGACGGAACTTTCCTTACTGGGAATGCAGGTACTAATGTTTTTCTTATGCGATTTAAGTTTGTGTTTATTAAGCTGATGTTATTCATCATGTATTGACCAGTTACGATTTTGTTCACCTTTCAGCGGTTGCACATCAACCAAAAAAGTACGAGCAGAAGATGAAAACGATCCGTCAGACCCACCGAGCTGGAGAAGTATGGGCTGAAGGTCAAGAGTTGCCAATGTGGACGTTCCATATGGACAACGGGGCCAGATGGGGCATTGCCACTACCAACCATGGAGAAAGTATAAATAATGTGTACAAGGATCTTCGAGCGATGCCTATTTCTGTCATCGTGGAGATGTCTTACTGGAAGGTCAACGAGTGGCGAGTTGCTCGGCTACAGCAAGCTATAGGGAGGGAGTTGCAAGGTCATTCAATAGCACATGACGTATTCGCTCAAATGCAGAAGAACGATGAAAAATCAAGTAAGCATAAGGTTGTTCTTTTTAACCGCAGTGAAGGAATATTCGCTGTCGAAACAGTTATATGGGGTGGAGGGAGACGTGGTCACAATCATCAAACGGTTAAATTGCACTACGAATTAGGGGAGTGTTCTTTTCAAAAGTATCAGAACGAAAGGATACCCTGTTCACATGCAATGACGGTTGCTAAATCAATAACCATGAACAGAAACAGCCTGGTGAGTCCTTACTACACTGAACAAGCGATACGGAACTCATATAATGCAGCTTTGAGCCCCATGCCAGATGAAGCGTATTGGCCTATATACGCTGGAAAGTTGATTATCCCACCGTTGCACCTAAAACGCACCAAAGGCCGTCCTAGAGTTGAAAGGATACACAATGAGATGGATCAAGTTGAACGGACGAGAAGGGGACCGAAGCGATGCTCTAAGTGCAGACAACCTGGTCATGACAAGAGGCGCTGCCCAGGACAACCACTATCTTAATTTGCATTTACTTGTAAAGAGCTACTAAATTGTAAGCTTGTTTAAATTTTCATTACCGCTTGCATTTGAATTACGAGTTTAATTGTCGGATCTCGTCAAAATTATATAGAAGTCCAGGTATTTTGTTAACTCTAAAATGTACTCCTTGTCGATACGATCGCGCTGTCGCAAACGGCTCGTTATTTCGACCTCAAATGAATAAGATACGCTCGTTTTAGTTTTTGATACGCAAAAGTTACTATAACGACATGTAGCAGCTTTCAACTCACTTATCTCACTCGTTTGGACTCGGAATTGAGATCTGTAAAATTCTATGTGATCGTGGTTGATTTTCCCAACTTTTTCGTGTTGAGCTTAGATAATGATTCTTGATGAAATGATCCAGAATATTCATTCGACAACTTAAGTGCGTAGGATAGTTTTTAGACAATGCAAACTCAAATCACAAGACCTAAAAATGTCAAAAACAACATGGATAGTTCACTACAATGATAAACACGATAAATTCACTCATTTGCTTCATTTTGGCCCCCATCTCTACCTCTTCCTCCTCGTCCTCCACGACGTCCTCGACACCTTCTTCCCCCTTCCGCCGCTGCTTCTTGGCGGACTCGCTCAACGGCCGGTCGCGGATTTCTCTTGACCCGAGCCCCAACTGGGGTTACATATGGTGGTGGTGATGGCTGAGATGGACCGGTAGCTGGACGGTGGATCGGGGGGTGCGGAGTTTGTTGCTGCGGGGTCTGATACATCGAACTTTGTTGCTGATGTTGGAATTGAGAGAACCCATGAGAGAAAGTGTCTCATTTCTGAGATGGACCGTGACTCGATGACCCTCCACCGGCATCCGCTGCAGGTGCCCACTGGTACTCGAAGGGTTCAAGGAGCTCGGTTGCTTGAGTTGTACGCACCTCTTCGAACGTAGGCAGAGGCCTGCGTTTGCTCCTTCGTGGGGCTCAACCGGGGGCACAATGGGTGCATCATCACGGAATGAGGGTCGTGCCGGGTCAGGAACGGGAGGATAGGCCACGACATCCCTCCTTTGCTCTCTGGTACAACTCAGGAGGTTGTTCATAAGTCGGGACAACCAAGTACTCTTCCGTTCATCCATGGTTGGAGCACTTTCGAGAGTGTACTTGGCTAGTTCCAAACCATCAATCTAAGGAAAGCAAAAAATATATCAAATTAAGTAAACCTTAAAATAAATTTATTTTAGAATGAGGGAGATTAGGATGACTTACCAACGAACCCATCACAGCACCTTGCTTTGACACCCATCTCATGGTGAACTTCCGATACCACTGCATGTACCCATCGTGGTAGCCCATCGGTCTCGTCTCCGGCATCCCTTGCACCACCCATTGGGATCGATTCTCCCAGATGTTGATGTAGAACTGATGCTTTAGCTGCCAGTTCTTTGCAGTGTGTCGGAGGTCCATAGCATGTAGCTCCCTGAAACCTTGAGGCGGGTCTTGTGGAATTGGTTTCTCCATTCGATATTGCCTCAAGGATCGATCGGGTAGGTGCCATTCCACCATGTGCCAGCAGATCAATGGCACCTTGCACAACCACGTCTCGTGATCCAGAGGATGTCTAAGATGATGCAGCTCAACCACTTCACGTGGATATGGATCCCATATAACCTATATTCATTCAAAAATTCGGAATTAACGACCATTTACATTGATAAAATTTAACTTGTTCAAATATGGATAAAACATGATTACTTGATTCCACCAAGGTTTATCTAACTCAGAACGATAAAACAGTAACGAATGCTCAGGTTGATGGTCATTCGTATTTGCTCCTATCCACCTTGTAAGTAAAAGTACGGAATCAATTTAATTGAAATATAGCTAAGCATATAATAAATTAAATTGGTCTAAGTACGGAATAAATTCAATTTAAATCTAGCTAAGCATTGTTCCAAATTTAAATTTGGCTAAGTACGGAATAAATTCAATTTAAATCTAGCTAAGCATGTAATAAAATTTAAATTGGGCTAAGTACGAAATAAACTTACTTGACACCGTAGGGGAGATTTTGCAGAAAGTTTAGCTCATCATCGTTTCTCCGGTATGGACGTGGGTCGAGAGGTGCGAACATTGGAAGATACTCCCATACCCAGAGTTGTAGGATGAACATCGCAGCACCAGCTTGCTTTGCCCCAACCTTCGAGCAAGTACACAGCTCCCGGTATACGCCCGCTAGCACGGCCGATCCCCAACTCTTCTCTCCAATTGCATCCCAGTCACCAGTGAGCAATGGCAACCATATGCCTTGAATCCCCGGTTGGACTTGTTGGGGAACAAAAATCCACCCACCAAACCGATGAGGTAGATGCGGGCGTAGCGCTCGACTTGTTCTTCCGGTGTCTCGTCATTGATTTCCACCTCTTGCTGGATGTGAGATACCAGCCACGGGACCGACACTTGGGCCGCATTCAACGGTGGATGCCCCCGTCCTTGAATTGGAGTGGTGGTCGGCATGTCAAAGCCCAAACGATCACGTATGAGCGGCCCCCAACCTCCTTCGGGTTTGGTCGTGGGACCAATGATGGCATCCCCAGAAATAGGCAGCCCGGTGAGGATCGCCACGTCTTTGAGGGTGATCGTCATTTCCCCCTCCGGAAGGTGGAACGTATGGGTTTCGGGACGCCATCGTTCCGCCATTGCCGTCAGCAGATCGTTGTCGATTTCGATCCGCAAGAAATGGCGCAACATTCCCAAACCGGTCCTCGCTATATAGGGCTCCAACTTTGGATGCCAAGCGGGCAAGTTATTGGTCCCTTTATGAACCACGGGAACAAGAGATTCCTAAAAAAAATAGGGAAAACATCAATTTATTAGATTAAATAAATCAAAATAAAACCTTAGAAAATAATAAAATAAAGCAAGAATACTCATCAAATTACCGGATTGTTATCCCAAATAGCACGGGAGCGATGAGCTTCTTGATCGGTTAAGAGACTCGCATCCCTTGGGCCATAATGGATATACAATCGAGGATCGTATATCTCGGCACCCTTCTATAAAAAAGTAATGAAATCAGAGATTGTTTTGATAAAAAAACACAAAATCAAATTGCTTCGATTAAAACAAAATCATAAACCAAAAACCTACACGAAGAGCCTCTTCGTCCATTTTTTGGCGGAAGCCGGACAGAGGTTCGACGGGTTTAGGTTTGTAAGGGACGGGAACTTAGCGGGACGGGGGCTTTAGGGTCAAACTCTAGTAATTCTTTCTGATGTGGAATATCGGACTTAGCCGCAACCACAGAGCATACTTAGAACGAGACTAGAGCGGATAAATTGAGGGAGAAAGAAGTGAAATGGTTGTGGTGTGAGTTGAAAGTTGGAGGGGGAGGGTTATTTATAGTTGGGGGAAGGGGGAAGAACTGCGCAGCAGTTAATTGGAGAGCCTTCACCGTCTTTGAGGGACGCGGTGAAGGCATCGCTTTTCCCGAAAACGGTCCCGGAAGAGGGGACGTGGCGTGCTGTGAGGCGTCGGATCGTGGGAAGAAAACCACGATCCACGCCTCACCGCATCCAACGGCCACGGTGAAAGCACATCGGGGCTGATCGCTGACGTAAACAAACACGGTGTATTCACCGTATTTGTCTAACGCGGTGAATACATCGCGTTTGTCCACGTCAACGATCCGCGTCGCTTCACCGTTTTTAACTCAAACGGTGAAGTATTCACCGTTGTTAAACCAAAACGGTCATTGATTCACCGTGGTATACCAAAACGGTGAACCCTTCACCATGTTAATTTGAAACGGTGAATACTTCACCGTTTTATTTTAAAACGGTGAAATATTCACCGTCTTTGTCAAACGCGGTGATCACCTTCACTGCGTTTGTCAAAAATGGTGAATGCCAAACATGTGTACTTTGGGAAATTTTTTTATAACTTATGTATTTTGGGAATTTTTTTTAAGAACATGTGTACATTGAGATTTTTTCCCAATAATTATTAGTCTAGATATGGATGTAAGATTGTTGAAATGTTGAATTAATTAAAATGAATGAACATTTCAAATTTTATTTGGTCATCAAAAGTTTGATTTTTTATGACGAAGAACCCTTATTCACGTACGTACATTGGTGATGGCCAGGGGCGGATATATGAGGGTTTAGGGGTGTTCTGGGACACCCCTAAAATTTGTGAATATGATTATTCGACCCCCGGTAATAGTTTTGTATGGATAAAAAATTATAATTAGTGATTTGGGACACCCCTACAACGATTATACTATCCTCGGTAGTAGTTTGCTTATACTTAAAAAAAATAAGCGATAGTCTGTGTTATTCAAACTTAGGATATACTATATTTTTTAAAACTTGTCCTCCATTAAGTTGCAACTCATTTGTTGTTCTATTTTAAGCACTACTTAATAGTAAAAAGTTATTCCTTATCCCCACTATTTCCAAAACCTAACAATTAAACTAATTACGGGCTACCCTTAATTTGAATTGATTTTATGGTTACACAACAAGTGTTGAAAGAGTTTTCAACTTTGAGTTATATCAATAACAAGGTTAGAAATCCATATGCGATCAGTTCGTGAACTATTGTCTAGTAGGATATACAGATTTGTTGAGCAATTTACCAAGCCTATTTTTTTTTTCAGAATATAAAAACATGTCGTGGCCTTATGTTAAAATTTGTACTAGTCCAATATTTTTTTATTTGTGAATTATTTATTTTATTTAATGTTTTTTTGAAGAGGACTTCCTGTACAAAATTTCTACATCCGCTACGGGTGATGGCGTAGGTAGGTTAAACTCCAGATCGCTGACCATCAATCGGGTCATTGATAATGGATCGAAAGTGTGCTATTCGAGTAGCGTACCAATTGGGAAAAGGGGAATCAAACACACGATCTCTCGTGTGGCAATACACCTCCCCAACAATTGGGCCGGACCTCTCTGGTAAAACATTAATTTTTTGGCCTAAGTGGTAATGTGGGATCACAACAACCACCACACTCTGGATTCAATTAGTGAGGCCAACAACCAATAAAAATAAAATGTTTCATTTTTAATGACAACTAATAATAGTTTAGCTTCCAAAATACAATTTTTTTTTTTTTGCCCGAGCCAAAATACAATTATTACAAACTAAGTTTTTCACAACCAAAATTACGTTGGTTGTAAAACATTTCGTTGGAAAACTAATTTTTGTTGTACTGGTTAATCAAACCACGTAAACTCAATTTTTATAAAATATTTTATTTTTGGTAGGCCATATATTTTAAAACATTTACTTTGCTGGCTTTCGTATCGGTCTTTAATTTGTACTAGGAGACTTGGCTTCGCTTTGCAGCGGCCTGGAAAGGAATTTTGTTATAGATTTTTTCGACCCGTAATTTTGAGTCAAATCTGCAATATTTTATGAGATGATTTTCAGTATTATAACGGTTAAGAAGTCGGCTTCTTCCCATGAACAGTTTAAGAGGCAAGGAAGTGATTTTGAGAAAGATTTATACATGTCCAGCTTAGAAAGAGTCAGCTAAATACTTCTTCATGCTAAGCAGGAATTAGTATCTCTCCATAATATAAAGTTGACCTCATCTTCTTTCTATAACTTCTTTGGCGAGGGATGGCAATTTCGACTTCTCCCAAATTATCTGTCCATGTCTAAAGTATATGTATTTTACTTAAATTGCTTAACATTTTACTTTGATAACCGTATATTTTGGCTATGATAGAGTTTCAAATATGTGAGAATATCAATTTCTTAAATAATTTACTACATTCATTGTTGTAGTTTTTTTTATGAAGAAATACATAGTTACATACGCATAAAATACATAGTTACATACGCATATGGGTTGACCTATCTCGACCGGCGACCCATGATAGATTATCCGATTTATAGTTTTATACTAAACCTGCCACGAAATGGGTATAGGTATCGAGATATCCCATTGTCATTCCAAAATTAAATACCCATAGAGCAATGAAATCAAATTATCATAATCAAAGCAAAAGGAGCTACACCTGGAAGCAGGGGAATGCTTTTCCCACTAATTGATCCATTATTCTAGTGGGTGAGCAAAGATAATGACAGCCCGTACCATTAGCTAACCGCTTATAAAACAGTAAGACACTTATAAGTTTAATAATATATATTAGGATTAGGAATTAGGAATAGTTGTTGGCTAGCATTCACCAAAAGTTTAATGTAGGGGGAGGTCCGGAAAAACCCATGAAAGCCATATTACTATATATAAATCTAAATACTAATTACTGTTCACTAAGAGAGGTTATGTATTTTCATATACTTAGGTTGGGATATTGTTTGAGGACTTGGGCTTCTCTATTCGGGAATTTGTTTCTTTATGGACTATTTTTTGCGTTGGACTTTTGAGAGTATATCTAGAAAGAGAAAGAATGAGCCAGTGATAAAGGGAAAGACGGTTTCTCTAGGGTGCGGATAGCAAGAGCATTTACTCCACTTTCTATTTAATCATTTTACCATTCGAGTGCGGGACTCTCAATGTTGACGGGTGAGTACCCCTGGAGTTTCTTTGCCTCCCTGAAAGAACCCCGCTTCTAGGGATTCTAACGACTGATCTTCGGCACCCGTAATTACTTTTAACGAATATGGATTTAGGGGATGAGAGAAAGAATTAGGTGTTTAGTTGAGAAGAATATAATAGAATTGAGAATCGACCGAGGCCTTGGATTAGGAGAGAATAGAAATTATGAATTGAGAGAGAATAGGGTTAGTAGTGATACATTGTTTAATACTTTTCTTGGTTGATTTCTTGATTTTTTATGACGTAAACCCAAATTACATATTTATAGGGAAATACTGGAAACCCTAATAATAATCCTAATTCGAGAAAATCTCTGTTAACTATAATTATAATTATCCTACATAATATAATAATAGAAACCCCAATAGGGCGGGTTTCTAACAATCCACCCCCCTTGAAAGCAACATTGCCCTCAAGGTAGTTGACTGCCATCTCCTTGACCTTCCGCTTTCTTCGCTTCCAATTGTGCTCGATCCCTTGAATGAAATCTCCTCGCGGAACTCCAACTTTCCTCGACTCTCCTCCACCCACGTGATATATGTCACGTTCTCCATAGCCAAACAATTCTTCCTCATCTTTTTCGAAATCCATGATATAATAATCGGAGAATTGTTCTTCTTTGGACTCCCTAAGTTTCTCCATCAGGTTGTTGGTTAAAATAACACAACCCTCCTTTCCTTCTCCTTGAATGTGGCCCACAATTGGTTCAAAGAGCATGGGCCCAAATTATTGTCAAGCCCTTTGTATTGTCTTTCTTAATTTTGTTTGAGCTTCAATCCCTTATAAGCCCATCTGCCAACATAAGGAACTCATTCCTCTTCTTTAAAGAATCCCTCTTCTTTAAAGACGACCTAACTTCTCCTGGAGCCCAACTGAACTTTTTCTTCTTTGCCAGCCCATAACCAAGAGCTTTTTCCACCTTTCCCACCACACAACTCTCTCCTCGTGGGGCAGGAGCACAAACGAACCAAACAGCTTGACTCAACTCCAAAGTTTCTTCCAGATCTTCTCGGCCCACACATTGTGGCCCAAACGTCTTAGCAAACAGATCGACATTGTGGCCTAGCTCACATCCCTTTTCCTGTTGTGAGTGGCCCAAGGTAGCCGACCATGGTTTTGCGAA